TTTTTTTCATGAAATCACTCTTCCCATACCCCAAACCTGCACTGCAATCACCCTTAGTCATTTAATGTTGTCATTGTTTGGTGGCTCACACTTTGCTCTGGGTAATATTTGAACTTGAGTCAGTGGCAACAGGACACCTCCCTCTTAAGGAAGAATTCAGCCTTATGGATTTAGGCTTCTGTTTTGGTGATATTTATAAACTGGATTACTCTTATTGATGTGCCAGAGTTCTTTTTTTTCCTGATACCTTTAACATTACTGTCTGATGGAAATCTTAATGACAGACAGCAGCTGTCATGTTTTCCCCTTGGCTGTACAAAAGCCATTCCAAAGTATCCTGTGCTTATAAAGGTGAGTGTCTCCTGTTCATCTGTGTTGAAATAGGATGGACAGAATAAGGTCAAAGGCTTGTTTGGGGTTTGGATTTCTTTTCCATCAAACACTGAATGGAGGACAGCCACTGTATTTACAATATAGCAGAGATTTTTAAAAATAAAATTATCACTTTCTGGTTTATTCAGATGTTGCAATATTTTACTCCACAGAGGTTGTTTTCAGCCAGGCTCCCTGATCTGTAATCCGTGATGATGTTTCCTCCTCCAGACCACGATGGGGTGGGATGGATGGGACCAGGCCCCTTGCCATGTGGGGTGGGGATGGTGCTGTCCCTGATCCTCTCTGCCTCCCTTGCCTTACAGATCCTGACAGGGCACAGGTGACAAGGCTGGAAGCTGAAGCCACCATCCCTCCAGTAGCCTCTCCCTCTCAGCCCATTCTGGTGGTGTCCTTGCAGGAGGAGCAGGACCAGTGTAAAGGTATGTTGGAGGTGGGAACTACTCATACAGGGAGTGAGGAATGTCTGGAGATGGAATAAAATTCCACTCATCCCTCCCCCAGTCTGATCTCAACACACATCCCTAATTTGTTACCTCTGGCACAAGGCTGAGGAATTGTCAGGGGAATTCCTGAGGAAGGAATTTGGGGCTACACTCTGCCTTCAGTGTAATTACCCCCATGGGTGTGAGGGGAGCAGCAGCACATGGCAGCAGTGCAGGGAGGGTGCCAGGGGAGGGCTGTCAGCAGTGATTAGGGCTGTTGGACACGTTGTTTACAGACTGCAGTCCCTGTTGCCTAAGCTGGGATGGTTTTTGGGACCTGGAGGTGTGTAACTGCAGCTGATCCGTGCCGTGGGTGCTGATGTGTTTTGTAATTGTGCCTCGTGCAGATAACGGGCCCTGCAAGCACCTCTGCAACGTGGTGGAAGGAGAGGCCGTGTGCTCCTGCCTGGCTGGGTACACCCTCATGGCTGATGGTGTGTCCTGTGAAGGTAAGTGCTCACCACAGAGAGGGGGGTTTATCTCTCACCCCCCTGGGTGTCCCTCTAAGGGTTCCTCATTGTCGGTGCTGTGAATTGCAGTGGCAGTGCAGAGACCACTTGGCAGAAGGAATCCCAGATTTGCTCCACAGATAACTCCTGAAGCACAGTGTGCTGGTACCTGGGGACTTCAGGTGAAGGCAAGCCTGGATTTGTGCTCTTTTCCTCTGACATTCCAGGCTTTTCTTCAGCCCTCTTGGTTTCTCTTCCCATGCCATTCCTGCCCAGGGTCTGTCTGCACAGCTATGGACACGCAGCTTTTCCTTCTGGAGCAGTGAGCAGGACAGAGGCAGGTTTGCTGTCCTGGAGGACCCCCAGAGCCACAGCTCTGCTCAACATCTGCTTTGTTGGGGTTTATTTCCTCTTGCCTTGAAAACCTGAACTCAGGGAGGCTTCACAGCCATGGGAGCTGGTCCAGCTCCAGTTGTTCCACTTGACACTGGAGCTCAGCCTTGCACAGTGATGAGCAGTGAATTCCAAAGCTGCACCATGACCATTCACATGATAAACATTTTAAGTGGACATGCTGGAGTAGTGACAAGGGATATGTTTAGCCAGGGAAGATTTGGGGGTCAGAAGCAATGCCCTGTGACATACCTTAATTATAAATCTCTAAGTATGGGAGCAGTGACAATAAATGCAGGGAGAAGCTTCCGATGCTCAGAATTGCTCACAAATGATCCACATCCCTCTTAATCTCAGGTCTTATTGAATTACAAATCATTTTCATGAAATTCTGGACAGTCTGTGAAGAAAATGGGATTTTAATATCACTAGATGAAATATTCACAGTGCAGTGCTTACTGAAGTGTGGTGGAAGCTAATTTGATTAATTAATGTCAGAATCAAAAGGGGCATTTCAAGGCAATCGTTTTCCTACAGGAAATGAAAAAATTTATAAATGTCAGTGGAAGCAGTGAGTTTAAATTGTAGCAAGGGCCATTTCTAATCTAAATTACAGCAAGGATTTGATGGTAGGGGTGCACTGGAACAGTGTGCACTGGCTCTGTGGGACTGCCTGCCTGGTTCCAAGGATGTTTCTTTCTGGCATGACGAAAGTGTCGGGGTGTGAGCAAGGACTAGATGATCTCCGAGGGTTTCTTCCTTAGTCCAGCCCTATTTTCAGTGTAACACTGCATTTATTACAGCGTGGTGCTGATGTGGAAGCTCCAGCACACTTCATTCAGACATCTCCAGCGCGAAAGAACTGTTGTTTCATTTCAGCAATTGTTCTAATAGAACTCTGTTTTTCCCTTTTGGCTGCCTCATGCTGGTGTAGATTTGGATGAGTGCCTCACAGGTGCTTGTTCCAGCGGACAATTATGTGAGAACACACTGGGATCATTCTCCTGTGTCAGCCACAGTGGGATGTGTGCAGAGGGCTTTATTCTCAACAGGCATAGGAAATGTGTTGGTAAGACGAGAGGTCTCAGCCCTTCACCACAACATCATAATGCTCCATGCTCTGCAATGCATTTAAACCATTTGTGCTCCAAGGCCATCCTTGCATATGACATTTCAATCCCAGTTAGTGGAAACACATGTGCACCATTTGCTCAGCCACTCCACCTCATGAGTCCTGTGCTGTTTGGCTCCTTCCCCAGCAATACATCCTTGGGTTACAGATAACTCTGTGCACAGCCAGGGGTGTGATGACCACAGCAGCACTGATAAATCCTCCAAAAAACAGAGAATTGATCTCTGGACACTGTCAATGCTTCCCAGGCACCGTGGAGCAACCAAACCCCAGCAACACAGCTCAAGGGATCTGCGTGAGGCCGGGCAGTGGAAAAGATCCATTCCAAAGGGATGGGATTCTAAACTTCACATCAGTCCTTTGTTGATTCTGGCACAGATTTCTTTGTGTAAAAGTCAAAGATGCATTGTGATTCTGCTGTATCATCCCTGCTGTTTGAGTCCATCTGAGAAACCAGTCGATCTTTACAAGTGTATTTACGAGGATTTAATTTTTTCCCAGCAGCCAAGGCCTGAGCTTACGAAATACTTTCTCTTTTGGGCACTTTTCTAGAGGCTGGTTTAGGAGGCATGTGAGCTGCAGCAGTGCTGCCTGGAAAAACAGAGCACCTGGAGACCTCAAGTCATTTCTGGAAGCAGCAGTGCCTGTGACTATAATGTCATGTGTGGATGCATGTGCCTTCTTCCAGCCCTGTCCTCCTCCCTATGTTTAGAACATTGTTTTTCTGACCATCATAGCTTTGGTTTTGTTCTGTCTTTAAAGCTCTATGACCTCATCTTACTAATGAGCACCATGTGGCCTGGGGGCATGAGCAGGAAAATTTTCTGCAGTGTCAGGGTCTGGAGAAGAAATGTGATTTACCACCTTCTGGGTTTTCCTTAACTAGCCAAAACTGCATTTTTAATTCTTTTCTTATTATTATTAATATTTATTTTGAAATCAGAGATACTGGTAAGTGTGGAAAACTAATGAAATGATTTAGTTTAAATGAAATGGCTGAGAGCACAGCACTGGAAGGCAGGAGGCCTTTCAGAGGCAGAATCAGGCTGTGAGCTGGAGGGTGGAGCTGGAGTTGCCCATGGTGTGTGTTCTGCTGCATCCACCAGGTGAGCAGCTGCAGAACTGCCCCTCCTTGTGTTCTGCTTCTGTCTTTGCCACTTAATTCCCTGATGTTTTCCTAGGACTTTACAGGAAGGATAGATCTGTCCTTTTCCACAGCCTTTTGAAACTAACCCAGTGCATGTGTGTCTGCAGCTTTGGCAGGAGCTGCTGTGGCAGGTGCCAAGTGCTTCCCTTTATTCACTTTCTTCCTCTCCCCCATGACATTATGATAGAGGTTTATTATGACTGATATAAGATAAACCTCAGGCACTGCTAATGAAAGGAAAGACACAGCTCTCATTTGTGAAGCTGAAAGACCTTTTTCTCCCTCACTAAATACCAAACCTCTGTGTTCCTCTAAATGCAAGTGCGTTTTTACAGATATCCGTTTAAATAATCCAGAAAACTTGGAAATTTCTCTTCCTTCTTTTTGAACAGATCCACCCTGTGTGCTCCCTGCTGGTATCCAGCTCTGCTCTGAGGGTGATGCCAGGAGAACATTTGCAGTATTGAACATTTTTTCCTACTTTTCTAGTCCAAGGGGAAAGCCACAAGCACACTGTGGTTTGGGTTCTGTTCACTGTCTCGTTCTGAGATGTCCTTTTCCAGCCTCACTGCCTTTGTGCCACACCTCGAGCTATCTCATGCACCTTTGGTAGTGTGTTTGCAGAATCCCCTTGGTTTAATGATGTTACTCTTTGCATATTTTAGGGACGGGGAGGAACAATCTGTGCACAGCAACAAACCAGCTGCTAACCTTTTATCTGTCGAATTTCCTTTAGTCAAACTGTGGAATTCCAGATATCCAGGATTCCTGAAAGCCAACCGTGCACAATGAAGAGTCACCAGCTGTTTAAATAGCTCCCACACCTCACCTTTGTGTCACTTTGAGAGCAGATAATGAAATGTCTGCAGGCTGGAAAGCTCCATGTTCCCCAGAGATAAGAGCCAGGCTGGATGTTGTTAGTGGGAATTGCTTTTCCTGGTGGCTTTCAGGCAGAGTCATTACCACCACCCACTTACACAGTGGCTATTTTACTCCTTTCTTTGCTACTCCCATCTCAGTTTCCCCTCCTGACAGGAGGAGCAGTGAGTGGCCACGTTATCCCTGAACTTTAGGGCTCTGCCTGAGCACAGGATGGGTGTTGCAAAATAACCACATACCTAAATTACACAGATATAACCTATAAAACAAATAGAGCTGAAGCAATTTGAAGAGGAAAAAAAATAAGGGTAAACTACAGAGGCAGGACAAGAAAAGCCTCCATTTCACATTTTTATAGAAAGGCCATAAAAATTCATTTTTAATGTCAAAGTACATATTGAAACAAATAGCAGGAGGTAAATGTTGATATTCCTTATGCCAGCAACAGATGGGTCAGGGATCCTAGCTATGGTGCTGTTTGCATCCACAATTCCTGGGAAAAAAGGAGATATTACATGATTACATTTCATCCTGGGTTTTGCTGACATAAAATGAGGAATTAATAAAGTCACTGCCACACACATGACTGTGGAGATTTCTTCAAATTAACCTTGTGACTTGTTTTTAATATAGTACTGAAGTATTTTTCCTCTTATTCCTGTTTTTTTTAGTAAATATCATCTTACCCTACCTCACAGTCTTAATTGGGTTGGATGAAGACTACAGCTGGTGCAGTGTTGGAATTAACTGTGTTCCAAACTGCAAACAGAACTCCTGTTATTCCTAGTGCTCTGTCAAGCATCTCACTGACTTGTTGGGTTGGCTTCCAGGATGGAAGAGGCACAGGTTATGGGCACTCTGGATTTTATGGAACATTTAGGAATTTAATTAGAAAAATTAATAAAAAAAGGCATATTTGTTTGATTAACTGGAAAGGAACTTTGGTGAGCTGGCAGCTGGTCTGATCTCAGAGATGGACATTCATGCCCTGTCACTGGGCAGGGCTTTGCATGTCCAAGGCTCAAGTTTAAGCCTTGCACCTCAACCCAGTTCACAGTCCTTGGGCTTTGTCAGTGTATCAGATGTGCCCAAACCTTCCACTGAAAACAAAATTGTGGATGGAATCTGCCAGTTTCCATCATTTTAATTTCCTCAGATGTGTTCCAGCCAGTTCTATGTGTTTTCTCCTGTACTCAGAAGTTTGAAAATTGAATCGAAAAATAGAGACAAAACATGGAACTGTATTAGATTTTTTTTTTTCCCCTCTCTGAAAAAAACCTTCTTTGTCCCTGTTTAAAACCTGCTGGTCAGGTGGAATACTTCCTCCCTTCTTTGGCTGTATTTCAGGCAAGCACACTGTCCTCCTGGTGGCTGTTTTGACATGGTGCTGGACTGACTGAAGTTCTCAAGATGCAACGTGGTGGTCAAAGTTTGTTTATATGAGAGGTCTTTTTCTGGTTTGCAAGAAAAGATAATCTCATATCTGTGGTACAGCCAGTAGAGAGACTTGCAGTGTGTTGGGTGCTATTAGGTGGATTATCCATAGCTGGTTTTCTCAACAATTAATTAATAAATCTCAAATTTATTTAAGAATGAATTCTAGTGAGGTGGGAGAGTTCTACCACCGCACCTGATATTCTTCTCCCAGCGTGAGGGATTTTTTGTTTGTGTGTTTTGAGTGTGGGTTTTTCCCCCCCAAGATCACCCATGAGAATATTGCTCCTTGCTCTTCATCCTGCTGTATAGAAACTGCACGGGGAGGACAGAACCCTATAGAAGCTTTGGGGCCCCTGTGTGGGAGCATCAAAGATCCTGTGGGACAGGCAGAAAGATACAGGTGATGGTGGGGACCTTGCAGGGTTTCACCAGCTGGCTTTGGGAAGCAGGTCCACAGCATGGAAAGAACAGCAATAACAAACAAAAGGAAAACACAAATAAATGAGAAGTGAAATACCACCAAGTTCATGTTGTGGCCTTGCAGAGCATGTCACCAGTTAGTCCATCAGGAACTGAAATTTCTTGGTGCCCCTGTTCATCTGTTTGGTAGAAAACAAGCTGAGATGCTTTTTAAGACAAAAAGCTTTAAAAAATGGCTCTTCCTGTTTTTGTGCTCCACGGAAGAAGTCATATATCTGATGTACTTATCTGAGAATGAGGTTCTACAGCCAAAATGAAAATCTGATTTAAACAATACTTGCTTTATTGTGTAGTATGAAAACAGCTTCATGCACAGAGCAGCCAGATGACTGGTAATGGCTCTGGTCACATTTGGCTTTTGTTAGCTCTGGAAATACTCCTGAGCTTTATATAGAGATGGGAACATGGGGGATTTTGTGGAGATTGGCAAGAAAGTTTCTCCTCCCAGTCTCTGCCCCTTTTTGTAACTTCTAGGTATTTACTCATCATGCTGTTCCAGCTTTCATTATTAACATCGGCAAAACCTGGATTTGAGATGATTTCAGCCAAGCCTATCAAAGGTGTTTCATATTCCTTTCCTAATTGTCCTACACTCTGTAACCTTGTGTTTAAGTGATTTTTTTTTTAAAAAAAGAACTCTTCCCCTACTCCACCTGCTGAAATCAGATCTCTTTAAAGATTGAAATAGGAATTTGAAACTTGATTGAGCCCCCAGGGTTCCTCTCTCCCTGTGTTCTTGCTATCCAGTTCTAATGATGCGTTTCTTAGGAAATGGGTGTTTGGATTCCTCCCCCTCAGCAGGGCAGGCAGCTTCAGAACCCCTCTCTTGCAGCAGTCCCAGCCCAGCAGCTCCTGCCTGGCCTAGAGCAGCAGGACTGATAAATAGCCTGGGCTGTGAGAAGCTGGTGGGGAGCAAAAAGCATCAATCACTTCCTCATTCAGTTGTCCAGGGGGTTCTCATCCAGGAAATCCAGTAACCCAGTGGCTGATCATCAATCCTCTGCCCACCCTGCATTCAATCAGTTCTCTCCATCCCTGTCCTCAGTGCCTGCACCATCCATTTGGGAAGAGGGGAGGAGAAGGAAATCTCCATGGGATTTGTGTCTCTTCAGTTACTCTGGAGACCTTGAGTCACTCATCACATCGCTGTAACAAAGCCTACACTGACTATCTTTTGGAAGAAATGGTTTCACTGGAGCTTTTGACTCCTTCCAAAAGAGCAGGAAGAGGGGGATCACTTGATAAAAGCGTGGCACTGATTGGTTTAACTCTTTGTTGCAGACATTAATGAGTGTGTGACAGAGAGACACACCTGCCAGCGCAGAGAGCACTGCGTCAACACCATGGGCTCCTTCAGGTGCCTGCAGGAGCTGACCTGCCAGCCAGGCTATGAGCTCAAGGATGGGGACTGTGTTGGTAAGACAAGTGTTTTTCAGCTGTTACAGGAAGGAAGGGAAAGGGATTGCAAAGGATTTTGTTGTTGCTGCTCTGGGATATGAGGGTTGTAGCTACAAAAGGCATCGTGGAAGTGTTGGGCCCTGTAGGCCCCTTCTGTACATTCATTTATTTGAAATGGTTTCCAGTGATAAATTATTTAGAAAATGGGTGAAACCTTGTGAACTAGGATTTGCCCTGTTTTTAAGGCATTACAGAGAGAATTCCCTGATGGAGGAATTCCCCTTAACTCTGCCTGGCTCTGCTGTGCTCTGGAGGGGCTGGTGCTGTTTGCTGTTGGGTCACAGCCTGGAGGGCTCACGGGCTGACAGCCCCAGCCTTCCTGTGTTCAGGAGGGCTGCCTGCACTTAGTTATGCTTGGGATGGCCGTGGGGTTAAGAAGTTACTCTGCATCCCCCCTTCTTGGACTCTGGAGGTGTCAAACAGGGCAGGGAACATCAGCCCTTGCAGCAGCAGCAGCAGCTGTGCAGCTCAGGAGTGTGCAGGACACCCTGCCCTGCCTTCAGGGCACAGTCAGTGCTCTTTACTCCTAAATTTTCACCCAGTTCCCTGACAGCTGGAGTAAGAGATGCCCAAGGGAAGAGCTTAGCCTTTGAACCAGAACATTAGGCCATAAACCAGAAATTACCAGCAATCCCCCTGTCATAAGTAAAGCTTGGTTTGCTTAAAGAGGCTGTTTGTGTCTTGTTCAGTTGTCTCATTCTAGAGCATTTCTAACATTTATTACTAATCTAATTTACTTTCTAGTCTTAAAGTTAGATAATAGGGGATTATAAGGTTTACAAATTGTTTTAAAGTAGCCTGTAAATTCATGACTTATAGGAAAGGCTAGAATTTCAGAAGTACCCTATGCAAAATTGCCTACAGATAACTATTGAATCTTATTTTATTAATGTGAGGTTTATGAAATACTCATTTTTCTTTGTCTCAGTCTGTAACTGTGGTAGGCAGAGTTATTAATATAGTGCCTTATGAGGGACTGGTGATGTTCCCTCATGACCTTAACATTTAATGAGGAGTTGGAGTAGAAAGAGAAGTGCCAGCAGTTCTCCCCTTGTCTGCCTGGAGGAGTGGAGACTCCTCCACTGGGGACTTCCTTCCATTTGTCTTTATCTTCTAGTGAAGATATTCCTTGGGAACCAGCATGTGTTAAAGTACCATTTGAAAATGTGCACAGGAGCTGAATTTTGAACATATTTCTGGCTGAGTCTGCTCCAAGGTGGGATTTCTTCAGCTGGAAGATGGAAGCCACACCACTACACCACAGTGACTCAGCACAGAGCAGTTGGGTGTAAATTTATAAGTTTGAAACCTGTGGGAGGTGTTTTCAACATCTCTAGAAAGCAAACACTGAGTTGGTGAACATAATTTGGGAAATAATTTCATATACTTAATAAAAAATGAGAAAGTTGTGGTGGGCTCTGGCTGGAGAGTAAGAAAAAAAGCAAAATTTGCTACCAATACGACTGCCTCATTTAGATTTTTTCCACATAGTTTTACGAGCTGGGTAAGTGGGTTTTGTGTGTACATAAGTATATATATATAAATATATATATATATATACACCTGCATGACTACATGTCTGTGTGTACACAGTGAAATCCCAGTCCTTCAAGCAAGGTTACTTATGAGTATCAAATTCAGAGGAGGCAGGTTTCTACCTCCCTGAATTCCTGAGGTATATAAGGAATAAGAGCCCATTTTGCTTAGGAAAGGCTGTGGTACGTATTTTATTATGAGCACCTGATTTGTAGTTTTAATGTGGATCTTTAGGATTTTAAAACTGCAGGTATTTTGGTATTTGTGGGTTACAAGAGATGCTGCAAACGAGGCAGTAGGGACCTGAGTCAAATTTGCTGCAGGACCTGACAGATCCTGAAGCCTGTACTGAAGTGGATGTCCAAGAACAAACACACCTAAACCTCAGATTTCCCACTGGCAACATGTGTCTGGTTTAAATAGTGCCTCCTAATTTCCTTTCTGGAAGTTAGCTAGTCATGAAGATTGCTGAAAGTTAGAGCTCAACTAATCCCAGTTTGCTGTTCTGGTCTGATTAACAGATATTGATGAGTGTGAGAGAGGAACTCACAGCTGCAAAGTCAACTTTGTTTGTCAGAACACAGAAGGGTCCTTCTACTGTGAGTCAAAGCAGCGCTGCATGGATGGGTTTCTGCAAGATCCTGAGGGAAACTGTGTTGGTAGGTGTGACCAGAGCGTGTTTGTAACTCCTGGGCCTTCCAGCCTGTCCAAGGGGGGTGTATTGACCCTTGTATATGTGGTTTGCCTCAAACCCTGTTGTGAATTTAATGTAAACATTGCTGTCCTTTTAAAGTTATTGCATTTGAAAGTCTTCCCACAGCAGACCTTCATCAGCCTTATCTTTGGAGCACAAGAACCTGAAATGAAGGAAAAGAAGTGGCATCTGGAAGAAAACAGGCTAGAAAGATTAAATAGCATCTCTCACTATTCTAATTCATTTTTTTCACCAGATATTAATGAATGCACGTCCCTCCCTGAGCCCTGTAAACCAGGATTCAACTGCATCAACACAGTTGGGTCTTACACCTGCCAGAGGAACATGCTGAGCTGCAGCAGAGGATACCACTCCAACGAGGAGGGCACCCGCTGCGTCGGTAAGGGGGGCTCGTGGTCACAGGAAAAAGTACATTTCAGTTCTAAAAAGAGGCTTTGAGTTACCTCCAGATTCCCAAACGTGTCTGAGGAATGGGAATTTGCTGTCCCAGCAGCTCAGGGATTTGTTTGCTCCCTGGATTCCTCCTGGCACGCTCAGCAGCGCTGGCTCTGACTGCAGGTGGGAGTCACTGGCTTCCATTCTGGAGTGAATGGGATTTAGTTACTTTTTAGGCTCGTGCTGTCAGTCAAAGCCATGATCCCTTGCTGTACATTCCAGCATCTCACTGTGAGTGATGTGATCTGCAGCAATCACTGAGTCTGTGCTCTCACAGGAGTAGCACCAAGTGGATGTTCTTTGTAGGGCTGTGAATGGTGTTCCCCATTACATCCACTTGTGGGGATGTTTAGGATAAATTCCTACGTTGTGAAAAGAATTCGGAGAAGAAGGAATGTATGAAATATTCATGTAGGCTGGCATGCAGCTTGATCCTGATTTGTGTTTGTTCCAATGTATTTAGGGAGTTACTGACTCAGAATAGCAGATTTTAGCTGTTATTAGCATTTGTTCTGTAAATGAGCATAGGAGGCATGAAGGAAAGGGAAGCTCAGTCCTTGGTGCCCAAGGCAAGGCTGGCTGGGTGTTCTCTAGTTCCCTGTATTCCGAGTTACACGAGGTAGGAAATCCAAAAAAAAACAATGACAGAGGAGGAAACAAAAAAGAAATGAGAAATCAGTAGTTGGGTTAGTGATGATATCCCAGTGATCTCTACCTACCTTCCCTTTGAATAAAAGGAAGGATGATAAATAAACAAAATATGCTTTGTGATGCTGCAGGTGGGTGGGAGCCCTATTGGCAGCCATGAATTTGGCCATGACTGCAGTGAAAAACAGTGGTACAGCCAGACCCTATTTCCCCAGAAACTTCTGTATTCACCTTTTTGCCCTTCATTGTGCTCTGTGTCCCCTCATGGTTTTGCCCCCAGGACTATCCAGACCATGCTCAGCCAGTGAGAAGATGGGGAAGGTTTGGAAGGGGCAGAAGACAGGGACAGTTCTTGTGTGTAACTGAGGAAATTGAGAAACCTTCCTAATACAGCTCTGGGGTTGTGTCTCATAAATTTGGAGGTAGTGCAGTCTTATTTGCTGTCCTGTTATAGAGCAGCCTGAAGTATCTCATTAGGTCCAAAGGTCCTGTCCCTCTCAGTTGCTGTGAAGACAATTCAACTGCTTTCCATCAGTCCTTTTTAAGCCAGGCCTGCTGGGCCAGGTACACCTCCTGGAGTGGTGACCCTGATGTTGCTTTTAGGGGACCACCATGCCAGTGTCTCCACTGTTTTCACTGCCTTGTCATCCCTGAGCAGCACAGAAGTCCTGGCTGCAGCCCTTTGCCCTGCCCTGCAGACTGCCCAGGGTGCAGGAATCACCACCCCTGCAAGTGTTCAGAAAACATGTGGATGTGGCACTTGGGGACATGGCTTAGTGGTGACCATGGGGGTGGTGCTGGGTTGACAGTTGGGCTTGGTGATCTTAGAGGTCTTTTCCATCCTTAACAATTCTATGATTCTATAATGACTGGGCAAATCACATTCCTAAATTTCAAATTGATGGAAGAGAAAGAATCCAGCTTTTCACCCCAGTTGTTCCTAAAAAGGAGTGATTATGTGCCAATATGTGACAGAGGAGGAGATTGCCATTATTCAGACAGCATCTCTGTCTCTAAAGCAAGAGGAGATAACACAATGCAATGTGATTACTGATGGCCCTCTGTCTCTGCTTTAAATGGTTGACAAGGTTGTTAAGGAGCAGGTATAAGGAAGCTTCTCTAGCTTGATTTTGGCAAAACAAATTTAAAGTTAATTGATGATTTCTCTGACTTTGCTGTGTGCACTCTGTCCCTCTTGCTGGTCTATAGCTTTTGGTGTTTTTTTGGAATGGCTTTTTTTAAGTAGGCAGAGAGAACAGAGAAGAAAAAGGAAAAGCATATGGTCCTAATTTCCCCTCTCTGTGATAAAGACTAGTTTCTTTGAGGCATTACAATAGCTAATTAGATTCCTGATTCAGATTTATTCACAGTAGTAAAAACATCATCTGCACATGTTTCTCCAGCAGAGCGACGCTCGTAGGGTCATCTCCTCTGTTTAGAGGATTCATCTGTCTTTAAAATGTTCAGATTTACTGATTTAGTAAATGAGTTATTAAAAACAACCTCCTAGGTTTAACTGAAAACTGCTGTAAGTATTGTGAAATATGGCACAGTTCTGATGGGGTAATGCCCTAGAACTAATTAAAGTGTAAATGCAATGGAATATGTAATTTTGGACAAACTAATGAAGTGGTTGCACACATGAATTCATTACAAATAAAGCTGCTGCTTTACAAATTTGTATCTGCATTAGAGACTTCCTTGCTACTTCTGATCTTACAAGAAAATGAGGGGTCCATATTTCAGCAGAAATCTTGGAGCCTGTCAGAGATTCCTTGGGTTGGCCTTCCCTGCCATTCCTGACCCTGGGGCCAGCAGGGACTGTGTAGGTGGGAATCTGCTGAAATGTTGAACAGAGTATTTGTCAGTGCCCCTCATCAGTGTTGATATGATCTCCACTTCTCCAAATCCAAGTTTCTGCTCTCACTTCCCCATCATTCCCTCAGCAAGGGTCTGCTTCCCAGAGCACTCACCAAGCTGCTGTTGGATGGAGAACTGCCCAGGAACCCTTTGAATGATTCAGTGCTCAGATTTATGACTTCAAATAGAGCAGCATGGAGAACCTCCAGACTTAGACTTCCATTCTAATTATTATTACATGAACAGAGATTTGGGTTGTAAAACTAGTAGAAGATGTGAATAATGGAAAGAAAGTAGGATCTGATGGTTTAGGAAATGGCAGAAGTCTGAATACGTGAAGAAACAAACAGTTCTGAGGGTTAATCAGACTTTTTGATGCTTCTTGTTACAGATGGCAAGAGGGATTTGTTAGAGACTGATGAGCTATTTAGTCATGTTGCAAGTCTTGTAAATCAGTGTGTATTGAAAACTCTCATCTTCATCTGAGGATGTTTAAATGAGATTGGAAGTGATGCATGTGAGTGGAGAAGCAACTAATTTGTTGGTATTGGATTTTGGATGAGAGGCCATGAGGAATATCTAAATGGGAGTTGATTGAGAGAAGAAAAAAAAGATCAACATTGGGAAAGAGCAAAAGTTAGACAGCAGGAGCGAGACTGAAAGGGCAACTGGAGATGAAAATAGCAATTGCTTTAATTGAAGGGATGAGCAGAGTTTCTGGCTGGTTCTTGTTTTGCTTTAAATGGCTTGATGTGAGTCACGGAGAGACAGAACATCACAGGGGGTGTTTAAATGTCAGGGTCTGATCAGCATCAAAAAGTGTTTACATTGAAATGCAGAATATATTGGGAGAGTTCCATTGCAGTTCCAGGATGGTTTCACTGTGAAGATAATGTTCTGCTTTTCAGAGGTTTGACTTACAGACACACAGAGCTGGCTTGGAGAAGAGCAGAGTGGGAAAAGCTGATGGTAGTTCTTCTGTCCAGGGGACAACCATAACAGTTTCTATTCCTGTTATTTATTAATTTTTTTCCCCCTCTCTCTTCATAAACATTGATTTTAAGCAAACTAAGCAAATTGCTCTGTCTGTCTCTGCAGATGTGGATGAGTGTCAGACTGGTGTGCACCGCTGTGGGGAGGGGCAGATCTGCCACAACCTCCCCGGGGCTTATCGCTGTGACTGCAGGATGGGCTTTCAGTACGACGCCTTCAGCAGGAGCTGCATCGGTATGTGAGGCACGGGGGAGGTGGGAGCACTGACTGATGGAGCCTCGGCCCTCCAGGCACTGTTTAGCACTGTTGCAGTGTGCAGGCATTAGTTCTGCAGTGCAGTGCCTCAGAAGATGATGGAATCACCTCCAAAGCTGATGTCCTACAGCTTAGAGCTCTGTCCCTCCGTGCTGGGATTTCTGACCAGGTGCCCTTGGCTTGGTTTAACTGCAAGTCATCAGTTAAAGTCATCTGCAAAGTATTCCCTGAGGGCTGTGCTTCAGCTGCTGTAGAAATTTGTCTGTCTGAAGATTTCACCACTTTCTTCCTAAGAACCACAAGATAGCCCTTTTTATTTTATCCCCCCTGTACCCCAATTAGGGCACAGAGTCAGCCTCACACCTGAGCTTGCAGCACTTCACACGCTGCAAATCAATCTCTGACACTTCTAAAAATATCCTCCTGCATCTTGTTTGATGCTTGTGTTGCTCAGTTGATTGTATATTGATGCTTGTGTTCCTCAGCTGATTGTGTATTTGCTTGTTGTGCTGGCAGATATAAATGAGTGCTGGAACTACCCCGGGCGCCTGTGCCAGCACACGTGTGAGAACACCCCTGGCTCCTACCACTGCACTTGCTCCTCTGGGTTCCGCTTGTCCTACGATGGCAAACACTGTGAAGGTACCAGACATCTTTTTTCTGTGAAGAAGAAACTGCAGAGGGAGTTCAGGGACTTTAGAGAAGGAGTTGGGGTCAAATATAAATACAGTAAACCTTATGTGTGCTCAGATTTGCAGATATTCAGTCAAACACTCAACACTCAAACTGTCAGATGAGCATTGACAAGTTTCTCCCTTCTTCCTTTCCCCCACATACTTCTGCTTTCCTTTCAGATGGGAGAAAAGGAGAACAGAACAAACACAGAATAGGAGACTCTTAATTCAAATTTTGATAAAGATGAAACTTGGTAGTAATCAAACTTTAAAAAAATGATTTTGAATTGAATGGAAATTTGTTTAATTCTCCGTGAGTTTTGTAAGGCAATGATTACATATTTTTGATCGACTGTAACCCATAATGTCTGCATGTGTGTGTGTTTTATGTATTGGCATATATAGAAATGAAATTCAGGTGCAACAGGCAGCCTCAGGCTTCTTGGAGCTGAGACAAACTGGGGCAAATCAGTCCATCCTTAGTCACTCTGACCAGAAGGGGGCTGTTTTCAGGGGCAGGAAAAGGTGGGGGACACTGTTGTGAGCCCCTGTGGCCATGTGTGTGGGTTTGTTTTTGGCTGCAGATGTGAATGAATGTGATAACAGTCCCTGCAGCCAGGAGTGTGCCAATGTTTATGGCTCCTACCAGTGCTACTGCAGGCAAGGTTTCCAGCTGGCAGAAGATGGGCATTCCTGTAAAGGTAAGGCTGCTGCTCCATCAGCTCAAGGTAAATGTGTTTATTCCCTGGAGCTGACTCTCTGCAGCACCTAATGCTGCAGGTGCTGCCTGAGGGTGATGGTGGGTTCCAGCTGCCCCTGAAGCTGCTCAAGGGAACTCCAGCTATTGGACAGTGCACTGGATGGAACACACCTGGGTGACCATGGAACAGGGGGGTTATCAGACTAGTTTCATGGAAAAATCAGGTGGGAAGATATGTTTACCTGTGTTGCATCAATGAAAGCCTCCACTCAGCCATGGTTGAGTGAAGGTTTGCTCTTGATGCTGCTTGTGGTGGGTGAATGAGGAGCAGAGTGGTCAGAATGGAGGAGGGAGGGGGTTTACCTGTTTAATTGGAGTTACTGACACTGACACATTGGAGAGTCTCTATTTAAGAAGTGGTGAAGAAGTCCACTCTCTTCCTGGCACAAGGAAGCTCCCCAAGAAATTCTGGAAGAATTCTTTGCTGTGGGCACTGGCACAGGTTGCCCAGAGAAGCTGTGGCTGCCCCATCCCTGGAAGTGTCCAAGGCCAGGTTAGACAGGGCTTGGAGCAACCTGGGCTAGTGGGAGGTGTCCCTGCCCATGGCAGGGGGTGGCACTGGATGAGATTTCAAGGCCCTTCCAACCCAAACCCTTCTGGGATTCTATGAATCTGTGAATTACAGAGGTACCAGAGAGAGTCTTTCAAACTTGGATGTGTCCTAGACTCATTATTCTTTTCCAGGAGTCCATACCACTTGCAGCCAGTATTTCTGGGAGCACTCTTGTGTCCAGCATTCCAGAAAGCACCATCAGCAGTCCTCCAGCAACATGACACTTCCATGGTTGCGTTCATGTTTAGCAATATATTATGAACGTGTCAGATGAGAATTTCCTTGTTCTACAGCTGCCCTTCCCAGGTTTCTGTTTTGCTTGGTTTCCCACGTTGGTACCTGTGTTTTCTCCCCAGACATTGATGAGTGCACACAGAGTGCAGGCATCCTCTGCACCTTCCGCTGCGTGAACGTTCCTGGCAGCTACCAGTGTGCTTGTCCTGAGCAGGGATACACCATGGCAGCCAATGGAAGGACCTGTCGAGGTAAGGAAGGGACTGCAAGATTATATATCATGAGGTTTTAATCCTTGGAACGAGCCATTATGTTATTCAGTCAAGCCTCCATGTTTCAGTCACTGTTAACAAGCCAGTATTTGACAAAGTTGCCAAATATTGGTATCTGCAAAGACAGCTCTCCCCTGTGTTACAAGAAAGTGCTGTGGCAACTGGGCTGTCAATGTGAGGGAATTGCTTAAATGAATTCCCAAGGGAGCCCATGTCATCCTTCCAGCTGGAGCCCTGGATTACTTGTGTGAGCTGTGTGTGCACCTTGGCACAGCACTGAATGATCTGGGCTTTCAGAGGGGCCAGGTGTAGAAATCTGTGCCTTCATTATGAGTTGCAGTTTTCTGCCCCAGAAAACTGGGAGATTAAATGTTGGAGCTGTAATGGGAACTTGGCCATCCAGCAGTTTGTCACCTTAACTATGTTGGCATGGGGAAATGTTAGTGCAACGACAAGTACCCTCCCCTCACACCCCCCTTTTCTCCAGAACCATAGAAATGCCTGCTGGGAGTGTGGTGGTTTTCATCTGGTGCACAGCTGTCTGGTTCTGAGCTGAACCCCCATTTCCAAAGGATGCCCTGCCTGTGTAATGATGATGGAAGATCTGATTACCTTTGCACACACTGCACACATTCCTGCAGTGGTTACATTAACTACCAGGCATTTCCTGCCCTTAGTTTTTCAGAAACCCTTCATATAACTTTTGGTTATGTATCTCCTAGGCTTGAATTCTTGGCGGTAATGGCAACGAATTTGCATTGTGTAAATCATGAGCAGCATGTGTGTACTTAATCCTGACTTTGGAGCAGGGAAGCAGATTAAATGACAATTAAAATCCTTTAAAAAAAGTTTAAAATATTTTTTAGAATGTGTTTTTAAGTATAAATGCAGTGGTATCCATGTGCATTTAAATTCTTATGTAGAAATTCACCTTTAGAAAACTGCAGCTGTAACTCTCCACAGGCTTTGTTTGTATTTTCCTCCTAACTTTGAGTGCTGGCATGTTAGTTGCCACCTCTGCCAGCAGTGAGATTTGGGCTGAGAATGTATTGCAGAGTTAATAGTGTGAGTCACTGTGTTCCTGAGCCAGCACAGCTCTCCCACAGGCACCCAGTGTGCTGGAGGCAGAGGACAGGGACATCCACCCAGACCTGCACTTGTGTTGTCTGTGTGGTGGAACCCCCCCTGCACGACCCTCACCTGTGTGGAGAGGCTTCCCAGTGCACAGCTTGCCCAAACAGAAACCCTTGGGAGGGCATTTCTGAGTGTCTCTGGCACCTGGTCCGGGCACCTCCTTGGAGGGTGAAGTTGTTCTACGTGCAAAACTCAGCAGCTCTGGAGCTGCAGTTTAGTCAGGCACTGGAAGGAGCCCCCCAGACACATTCCCTGTTTTTGAGCTCTGCAAGTCTGTATTACAAGTTAGGGCAGGCTTAGATATTGAGCTCTTTCTGAAAACATGGTCAGAGAAACACTGAATTGATGTTGGCTGTGCTAAGCTCAAGGAGATAATCTTGGTTTCCACCAGCTAAAGGTCTGGCTCCAGTTACTCATCGTCTGACCAGTTCTTCGGAGTTACTGGTGGCACATTCTTTGTACCTTTAGTTTCAAACAGACGAGCTGTATCTCATGGAACACTGTCTCAACATATGGATCTTTTTTGGAGGAACTGCCTGTGGTATTTTGCAGTGCAGCCAAAGTGGTGCAGGGAGGGAGTGCTTTCATGACAACGATTGCAATGTGGAAGAAATTTTCTTTTCACCTTAGGGGCACTGCTCCGAATCAGCAAGGGATTTACTTTGCTTTGATTCTCTCCTACTTCCTATTGTATACTTTTCCTTGCAAGACTTTTAAACCAACCAGTTCAGTGTATGAGATCAGTTCTCATCCCAGGGGAATGGAGGGAGTGGGAGGTTATAGTTTCCCTCTAGGAGTCTGTCTCTTCTGTGACAATTGGCAGAGCTGCAGGGCCCTGCACAGTCCACATGCCTTGTCTGTTAGCATTTATTTCATTTTAAAGCCTCCGTGCATTGTCTAGACTTTTGGGAGTACACAATGTGACTGGGAGATGATCTTTGCCAATGTTTGCTGCTCGAGCTGGATCCTTGATGCTGCATCTGTTTTTCAGCATTTTAAGGCCCATGGCTTGGGCTTGTGGATATGTGTTATTTAGGTAACCACGCTTATGCTCTGGGCCATAAAGTGTCTCTGAGCTTTAAATGTTCTTTACTGCCTTCTGTAATTACATCTCATTGTGGGGAGATATTTATGTATATATCTTAAATGTTCAGAACTGTGTGCCTTGTTCTGAAGTGTTGTTCCTGAGTTCCCATGTTTCACAGTGCCCTGGTAGAACTCTCATCTCCTGGATTGTGCAGTGAGAACTTTGCTTTGGATTTGCTTGCTTTAAATCCAGGTTTACTTTGGTTGCTCTGCTTTAATCCAGAGCAACGTTCATGCACAGATAATTCTTCTGACACAGCCCAAGTTTATCCCTTCTCAAAAAGTCAGTGAGAAGGTCCTGTTGGCCTTAGCATGGGTTGGTTCTATCCTGACAGGATCTGTTTATTCCTGAGGGATAGCTTTTGTGCACTAGGCTGTGAATGGTTAATGTGGAGTCAGACAGAGGGTCTCAGCTGGGTGATGGGGTGTTTGTCCCCTCGTGGACCCTGTGCAGCCTCATCCATGGGAAGGAGCCATCGCTCTCTCACAGGTTCTGCAGTGAGTGAGGGATTTATAGACATGGCCTCCTTTCCTCAAGGACTGTCCCTCGTGCTCCAGGGCTTGCCCACAGTGCCCACACCATGCCCAAGTCCGTGGCCCTGCTGTTGGAAAGCAGTTGGCTGCTTCCCCAGCCCTGGAGCTGCCACACTGCACTGCCCTCACCTGCTGAATGGAGCAGGACCACCTCCTTGGCTTGGAGACCCCTCACGGGACCCAGGCAAGCTCCAAGTGTGAAACTGGGCTGGTTCAGGGAGTCCCAGTGACCTGTGGAGCTGTAAAAATTGGCCCATCACTTTCAGGAAACGAAAAGCTCTCATCCATCAGAACAGCTGGGAGAAGCTTATACAGCTGTGGGCTGGTCTGGGACTTCCAGGGTTCCACTGCCTTAGACTACTGCTACCTACTCACTTAATTCTGTTTGCCTCCAGCCTGGCTTTAATATTAGTTTCATCTCTGACACCTCAGGGGCAGGGACAACGTGGCTACACAAGCAAATCTGTCTAGGTGTTCATGCTTGGTCTTTCTTGCAGTGGGAAGTGGGATCTCTGGGTTTGAGAACTTTTTTCCCTTCTCGTGTTTATTCTCCATGGAAAGTAAAACCCTGTATTGGTCAGCTGTGTGTGGATGAGGACAGGTGGGTTACAGGAGTGTGCCAGTGGTTCTAAAGTACAGGTAAAGAAACACAGTTCCCCTGCAGCAGAAGGCCAGCATGGCCATGTGCTGGGTGGACTCTCTGCCAAGCAGAGAGACTGTCAGACACCATGGAAAGTGTCCCAAGCTGCTTGTAGGGAAGAGTGGGCTCCCTTGTTTACTGCACACGCTGCCAGGTGGGTCTGTCATCTCTTATTGCCTGGTATTGTCAAGGAAGGAGGTTTTTTCCATAGAAGACATTTTAGACATTGAAGAATTTTGTCAGAATTGCCATCACCGTGGTTTATTCTGTCACTGCAAATGCCAGTGAGTGTCTGTGCACAGAGATGGACCTGACACACCTCACCTGGGTGTGGGTGTGCATTTCCCACCCCAGGTGTGCCCTGGGGGGTTCCCAGAGCCCTGGTCTGGGGCACAGGTACTGTGGAGGGGACACGCAGTAACCGGGGGGTGAGGACAAGAGCCCTCGGCTTGTAGAGCCAAACCCACAGACTCCTCAGGCACACAGTCTCATAAGCAAATCACAGCCCATCAACTGTGATTAATTCTCACTTTTGAACTTAGAATGCCTTTTTCTTGTGTTTCTTCTTAGATATTGATGAGTGTGCAATAGGAACCCATAACTGCTCAACTGCAGAGACCTGCTACAACATCCAGGGCAGCTTCCGCTGCCTGTCCTTCGAGTGCCCTTCCAACTACAGAAAAGTGTCTGACATGTGAGTGTGGCCTTTGGAACAACACCAGCAGCCAGGCCAGTCCTGTAGTGCTTAGTTTGTGGTTGGGTGTGGGTGCTCAGAGCTCTGAGAAACTGCTTTGGTACCTGGAGCACATAAACATTCCCCATGTAGTTTGTGTCTGGTTATCCTTCCTTCTTCCAAACCCTGGAGCCCCTGTTTGCTCCCCAACTGCTGCTGGAACAGCAGGCACCAGAGCCTGGAGCTCTCCTTGCTGCAGCTCTGAAAGGGCTCTGCTTATAAGTTAGTTTTAAAAAAGTAAGATCTTCTATGCTGCTTCTATCACAGCAGCCAGGCTGCTCAGAGCTCCACTTTTACAGTGGGTTTGGGGCTCCCTGGTTAATCTTCAGATTGCAGTTCCTCAGGGGCTGCTGAAACATTGGAGGGGAGCAGGATACTGAGCTTGCCAGGCCACAGGGTTCTGGGAAGGGCACACCCCCAGCTGCTGAGGAGCATGGGAGCCCCAAAATGTCCCTTCCCTCTTCCTGCCTTAGTATCTGCCAGTGCTTTGGGAACCCATATTTAATTGCTTACGACTTAAAAAAATACTTTTCCTGCCTTACAGAATTGAGCTGCTTTGCCAGTTGAGGAGCTTCTTTCCCAGCCCCATGTTTCAGCTACCTTTTCAAGAGCTTTTAGTCTTATTTTCTTGGAGCATTGTCCCAGCCCTGTGCTGTCAGTGAGGAACCACTGACTCCTCTTCCAAGCTCATGCTTTGCAGCACGACTGGCTCTTTCTTTGCTGTGGAATGCAGCTCCCCATGTCCATGATCCTTTCCTGACACTACAGTACAGTTACATAAATTACAAATGCTTTATGGACACTGGAAAAGCAGAACAAGGATAATCACAGGATATGCTGAGTTGGAAGGGACCCACAAAGATCATCCAGTCCAACTCCTGGCCCTGCACAGGCCCATCTCCAAGGGTCACCCCCTGTGCCCCAGAGGATCAGCCAAACCCTCCTGGAGCTCTGGCAGCCTTGGGGCTGTGCCCACTGCCCTGGGGAGCCTGGGCAGTGCCCAACCAGCCTCTGGGGGAAGAACCTTTCCCTGAGATCCATCCTGAGCCTGCCCTGACAGTCCATTCCCTGGGTACTATCCCTGTTAATAGCACTCTGAAGTTTGGGACTGTGGTTTAGCTGATATTTTGCAGCCCTCTGAGGTAAATGCATTTTCCCTGCTGTCCCCTGGACACTGAAGGCTCTCCCTGTCTCATTCCTCAGGAGGTGTGAACGCATCAGCTGCTTTAACTACCTGGACTGCCAGAACACCCCGGTGAGAATCACCTACTACCAGCTCAACTTCCAGACCAACATCGTGGTCCCAGCCCACATTTTCCGGATCGGCCCCTCCCCTGCCTACGCCGGGGACAACATCATCCTCACCATCACCCAGGGCAACGAGGAGGGCTACTTCAGCACCCGCAGGCTCAACTCCTACACCGGCATCGTGTACCTGCAGCGCCAGGTCAAGGAGCCCAAAGACTTCCTGTTGGATGTGGAGATGAAACTGTGGCGCCAGGGAACATACACCACTTTTCTTGCCAAAATTTACATCTTCATCACGGCTCATGCGTACTGAGGCCTGTGCTGACGGGGGATTTGATTGGTGCTATGCTCTTTACCTGTTCTACCAAAGCTTAATACTGTTGAACTGGCATTTAATGTATCTAGCCTTTATATTATTTTTCTATCATTGCTTTAAACTTTTTTATTGGTTGTGTAAATTAAGTTAATTTTTATCTTTTGATGTTTTGTTTCCTTATGCAGTTCTGTGCATCATCATTTGCCAGCCAACGAAGGAAGGGTTGGAAGGCAGCACATGCCTTGTGCTGAATGCTGGAACCTTTTCCTAGCCATTGTTTTTAGGTGTAGTCGCCTCTGCAGGGTATTGCACTAGAGAGGGAAGATGTTCACGTGGGAGCATTGGGAAAAAAGCTTTGAGGGCTTTCTCTTGCTGACACAAAGTCGTGGCTTGGCTCAGCCAGTGCCTTCCCTGGGGCTGAGATGCTGTGTCGGGGCCGTACGTGGACACTGATGGTCAACCCACCTCCTGGGATTATTCTCCTCCTTCCAACTTTCATAATATGTTGCCTTAAAATATATATAAATAAAAGAAAACTCCTCCAGTGAAAAAGATGGATGAATCTTGCTTTAGTAGGAACTACTCACATGCTAAAGACTGAAGCCTTCACAGAATGTTACACTTCGGGGTAAAAGCTCACATTGCCATTTTTAGTAGTTTTCTTTATAGGTGCTGAGGCTCCTCAGTTCCTCATTCTGTTATATAGAACTGCAGATTCACTGCTTTGGAATTCTTAAAGGAATATCCAAATGGAAATAATGAAATAATCTTTACTGCTCCTTATTGTAAAGCTTGGGTGTGCCACTGAGTCAATTTTAAACAGACAGAAAGGGCAGTTGCTTCTCTGCTTCAGGAAAATTCCTTCAGTTGTGTTGCTGAACAGCACAGAGGGAAAAGCCAGTGAAATTGGTGGGTTGTATTTTGCCATTTAGAAAAGAGCACAACCAAAGTTTTGTGCTGGATTTCCTCTCGTTCTTCAGGAAACTGGATGAAATCCAAAGTTGGAGGCCAGATCTGGCAAAGTGTAGTATAATCAAAGTATTTGTTAGAATTTAGAAGGAATATCAGAACTTCCTTGCAGCTCCTTTTTTTTTTCTCCCAAAAAACCAAAAAAGCTCTAGTGTTGCAATTTTCTGAGCTCCCTTTGTTCCAGCTCTAATTATTCTGCAAAATGTTTTAAAGGGAGAGCATAGTTACAATATACTGATGTCAGCTACACTGCAGTTTAATAATCCTACAATCCCAGGTTGGAGGGGACCTCAAGGATCATCTGACCCATTCTTGGCAAAATAATAATCTGTCCTTTTCTATAGTCAATCTTATTTTGACCAGTGCGTACACAAAAAAAAAAAAAAGGAGAAATCAAATCTTATGGCTTTTTCTGCCTTAGTCAATGATTTTATTATATTGTAAAGGATTTGTTTGAACTGCATCTAAAAATCGTGTAAACACCACCTGTATGGTGAGAGGAAATGTTCTGTATTCACTATATCCCCAGGCCAGTCTCTACCATTTCAAGTCACTTCTTGAATTTGGACTTTCTTATTGATAATAAAGTGCAAATCTTTCTGTATCCGAGATCATAAAGTCTCATTAGCAGGGAAAAGTTCCTGCTGTTCCCCAGCTGTAAAATAAGGGATATCTGTGAGCTTGCACACATCAAGCTTTTCTTTAGGGATTTTTTCCTATAAAAATAATTTTGTAAAAAGAGATCTTCTTCCATCCATCCATCTTTTGTTTTCCATAGTTCACAGTTTCATAAGCATTTAGCAGGGAAGTGCCAACTGAGAAACACATGTTTATGCAATTTGTCATCTCAGTTAATTCATACCTTACAGCTCCAGGCCTGGCCCGAAGGAGCCATGAGCTGAAGGCTCTCAGATCCATTACCCATGGACATGTTAAGTGGGGATACATTTCTCCAAGCCCCAGTGGGGCACATCAAGAGTCACCAAAAGCCAGAGTTTTCCATCAGCATTAGGATTTGATTGAGCATAAATGATATTCAGGCCTTGACAGCCCTTCTTGTTAGAGAACAAATGGACAAGTCATTTGTTACTTGGAGACCTTTTGCTGACTAAAACCAGCCACAGTCAATCATATTAAGAGTCTGGCAGTTTGTAACACCAACTCTTCATTTCCTAGGCAGGTAATTGATGAAGAAAGTTTTAGGGGAGGCTTTGCATACTATTATGAGGAAAATGCTACGTAAGGAAAAAAGGCATCTCCGTCAGCACTGTGCCCAGTAGCTGTTCAAAAAGTTTGGGAAGAGTTGCTTGGAGCAACTGGTCAAAGCAAAGGAAAGGATTACAGTAGGTAATGTCACATTTTCTGCTTCCCAAATAACCAGAGGAATGTTTTTTTTAGCTCTTCCCAGCCCACAGTGTTCACCCTGTCAGGTTTAGCAGCAGCTGCACTGTGGCTTTTGCTTTATCTGGTGGGGCAGTGCTCGTGCTTGGACCTGAGCAGACACACCAGCACAGCCCCACTCACCACCAAGGATGTGTTTTCATTGGGTTGCAGTGGCTTTGGACTGGAATTTTGGTCTCCTTCAACTGGTGTAGGTCCTAAAAGGCCCAGTCCCCATCTCCAGGAATGCTGCTCCCCCTTTATTTGGGTGAGTAACCCAGAGAGATAATGAGAGTGTATCCATGTGCAAAAGAGGTCTCAGTGGAAAGAGTTCGGGCCTGGGCTGTACCTTTATGGCCCCTTATAATTTCTTAAAACAGCAATAACTTTCCTGAATTCCCTCTTGAACAGCCTTTTTTTTTAAAAAAATGTTTTTACTTTTCCTTCTCCATTTCTAACATGTGAGTTGTATAGCTTTTGTTTATTCCCTTTGCTTCTTTGTGGCCACCCCACCCTTTGCCTGGCTGAGGTGAATTAAGAACAGCTACCCAAGAGCTGTGCAAGCTGATAAACTCATGAGGAAGACAACAGCTGCAAAGCTAATAAAGAATTACAGCAGGCTTGGGGCATCTGATTCTACATGTGTAAAAACTCAGATTATTGGTGTGTTCCCCAAGATGGAAATGGCCTTGCTGTGACCTGCCTGAACAATGTGTGTTCTGCTTGGCTTTGCAGGTTACTTAGTCCTGCCTCTGTGAAATCTGACCTCTCTGCACTCTGCTGTTATATTCCTTGGGAGATCCAGTGATCTCAGAGACTGAGCACGGTCAAATGAGCCATTGGAAGCAAGAAGAAATGTTGTTCTGTGTGTTTGCTGGAAATTGGAATGAGCCTATTACAGAAAGAAACATCAGGTTTTCTTTTGACTGGAATGTGCATCACATAGAGTTGAAACAGCAGCTGATGGGTCAGAGTGATGGTTTCGCCTAATATTTTAAACTGTTCTCTTTCTGCACCAGGGAGGAGGTATTTTACAGTGTCTTTGTATGTAAAAAATACACGTATGTGGATCAGTGCATGGAATGCAGTCCATGCCAGCATTCCTCTGTGAGCCTGGCATGGGGAAAAGGCATTGGATTGCTCAGCTGGGGCCTTGCTCCTTCTCCTCCCACTGCAGGACCAGAGCAGGGCACCCCTGTCATGGGAGAGGGAGCTGGTACCCCCAATGGGCCAAAATTCTCACCCCCAAGTTACCACAAACAGACCTGCATTCACCTTTATTTCTCTATCTTTCTGTTTGCTCTGGTGATTCAGGACAGAAGCAGATTTCAGACATATTTCATGGTTTGGATCATCCCTTGAGGTTAAAGCTGGAATAAGGGCCATGCTAAAATAATGCTTTAACACCAGGGCATCAGGGCCTGCCCTGCAAAGGTCCTGGTCATGGGGCCTCTGTCGTGGCAGAGACTGAGGGAAGAGCTGGGCTGTGCCCTGCTCCTCCTGTTCCCTCAGGAGGGGCTGCTCCAGGAGACAGCTCCCTGCAGACAGACTGTCCCTCTGCAGACCTGCCTCACCCCTGGGGAGCTGTTATTCCCATTCATTTGCCTTTATTTTCTTCATCTTTCCATTGATCCCGGCCATGCTGGCAGGAAGAGAAAGTTCCAGCCATGGAGCATTAGGATTCTGGAGTAAAAATAGATTTTGAGGTTAAATAAAAAGTGTATTCACACTTTCAGTGTTCTCTGCATCCCAGAGACATTAATTTTGGAATTGAACATCTCTTGAAAAGCAGGATTTAATTATATCCAGTTTCAGTGATGTGAAACTGAAGTCACAAACTTGAGCCTTTTGTCTTCTAAGGCACAATTCTTTCTCTTGCATGTTCCCTCCAAAGAGCAGTCAGCGTGTGGGACTGTTCCAGGGCTTTGGAGCCCTTTCAATGAGCTTCCCCCTTCGAGGGTCCTGCCTGATGTCCCCTGGCATCTGCAGCTGGAGGAGCCAGCTCAGTGTCACTCCTTGTGCTGAGCCTGCCCCATCCTCTCATCCCTGCTGGCACTGTGGGAAAGATGGAATTTTCCACTTGCACCCCAGTGCAGAGGCTTGTTCAGGGAAGCTTGTTCAGGGGGCTTTTTCAGGGCAGACAGTGGCATTGACTTCCCATGAGCTGAGGCTCCCGTCATGGTGGGGTTAAAAATTCCAACATCTGCTGTGCATCTTCTTTTTTTAGCTGGGGTTGGAGAGGAAGAGGATGCCAGTGTGGTGCCCTTCATGCTGTGATGGGAGGGGTGGGAGGAGAGCCTTTGTACATCAGGGAGTCTTCTGTGTGGTAGCCAAGAATTGTGTTAACTGCATAAATTCACAGCAGGATTTTTAATTGCTTGGAGCGTGGGATGGTGCAGTGGTGGCATGGAAGGGCTGAACTGGTGGTGTGGGGTTGGGGAGCTGCTGCAGCAAAAGGGGCTTCTGATCTCCCAGGCTGAGATCAGCACGATGGGACAGTTACCCTGAGCTCTCTCTGGGTAAAGAACTGGCCTCAGGTGAGATACCTGGTGCTTCTGGGTGATCCAGGTGATCCAAGGTCAGGTGGGTCAACACAGAATGTGTGAGAAGGGAGTGGAAAGTAGTTCTGTGCAGGGTTCATGAGGTTTGGTTCACTGGGAAGAGTCTGTAAGTAAAGCATTAAACCAAATCTCACAGTGAAACGCTGAGTTCCTGAAGAGAAACAGATTGTGGGAAGGGCCATCTGAAGGAATTGGAGTTTAACAGAGTGTTCCCAGTGGAACAAGTGAGGAATGCTCTCCTTTTCTGGGGGGGGAAGGTCCCAAATCGAATTTTATTTAGGAATAATAGTCCAATGTGCAGAGTACTAAACTCTCCTCTGTGCCACCATTTCTAGAAAGTAGTTATGAAACAGTAACACCAGTTGATCCAATTTAAGGAAAATACATCCAAAATGGAGACATAAATGCCTGGAGAGAATGGGAGGGGGGAGATGCCTTTCTCTCTGTAAATGAGGTACCTTACAGCAGCACAGACTCCACTGGGCTACTCTCCAGAGAGAGTTTTTGGCTCACTCTGATGACAGAATTACTGGTTGCCACTAGATGCACCATAGAAGGGGATAGGTCCTCCCCAGCACTGATAGCCAGGAGAAAAATGTATGTGGAATACTTCCAGTATGGGGAAAAAACCCTGATAATCCT